GGGGGGGGGGGGGCATGATCCTGAAAAGTTTGGGGGCCACTGGAAAACACTTCAAGCCAGGCTGCAAGCAGGGGGCACTTTGGCCAGGCCAGAGCAGCCTGGTGCTACGGTGGGCCCTGCCCTGCTGGATCCCGTGCACCCTGGATGAGGGGCTGCGGTAGAGCCTCCCCCCCTACACATGGCATGATGCAGCGGGCCAGTTGGGGGGGGGGGCATGATCCTGAAAAGTTTGGGGGCCACTGGAAAACACTTCAAGCCAGGCTGCAAGCAGGGGGCACTTTGGCCAGGCCAGAGCAGCCTGGTGCTACGGTGGGCCCTGCCCTGCTGGATCCCGTGCACCCTGGATGAGGGGCTGCGGTAGAGCCTCCCCCCCTACACATGGCATGATGCAGCGGGCCAGTTAACTGGTTAAACATATAGTTTAACCGGTTAACATTTAAAACGGGATTTTACATCCCTTTGTAAGGCCAGCCTAGGAGCCTTGAGCTGAGGTTCATTATAGTGAAGCTTAATAAGGTGATGGCGCTTCCTATCTTCAAAGCATTGTGCATGCACAATCTGCTCCTTGCAGCTGTATAGGGAGGATGGCAGGTGAGCTGGGGTATTGTCCCATTGCAGTGTAAGTACCGCTATAGATTTTGGTCTCTTGAGTTGCCAAGTCTCACTCATGGATTTTTTTTAAAGCATTTTTAGAGCATCCAAGGAAGATTTTTGCAGTGTTTCTCAAAAAAACCCTCACTTAATGACACTGACTTGACTTTGCCTGATACATCAGTGGAGTAATTTTCTCAGTTTGCTCTGCTCTCAGATTACACTCGTCTTTTTGCTCTTTGTCCTGTGCCTCTCATGCCTGGAATCAGTCTTCCCTCACTTTTTTCACATTTCTTCCTGGAACTTGCTTCCTTTTAAAGCCCTACCATTACTATTTCATCAGTGAAAGATGTTGGCAATTGTAGGAACAGCTCAGATGTATCATTGCCCTTATACTGCTAATAGCTTAAAAAAGTTTCACAGAGAGGTTATGTGGCAGGGGCCTGTGCTTTTAGAGCAGGTGAATCTGAGTTCTAGCCCTACTGTTGGTATGAAGTAGGGATGTAATAGTGTAGTCAATTAACAGATAAGCAAAAGCTTATAGGTTAATTCTATAGACTACATGCATTTCCCACCCCCCTCCCCTGCCAGTAAATTTTTTAGCAGACTGGCCAGCAGCCCGGCTCAGTCTTGGCTCGCGCTGTGTTTGGGACCTACCCCCACTGCGGTTCTGCATTTACAGTGTATTAGGAGCCAGGCAGGCAGACAGCTCTCACTCGTGCCAGGTCTGGGAGCTCAGCTCCCACTTCCCAGGCGGGCTGCTACCACCCTGTGCTGCTCAAACTATCAAACTGGCTCCCCTTGCAGATCAGCTCCTACCTGGCACCCCACATTGCTGCCTCTGATACAGAGGCAGCAGCATGGAGTGGCTGGGGGCTCCTTGGGAGCGGGGCCAGAGTGCACTGGCTGCCAACCCCATCCCCGTGGAATATAGAATAGTCAAGTAACTGATAAGAATTCATGAGGTTAATCGAGTATTCATTTAACTGATATTTAACATCTCTGGTATGAAGTGCTGAGCTGTCCTGATAAAAAGCACAATGACAATCAGGAAGACCTAGACATTTGTTTCTCTTATGAAAAATGATGCTCCCCAAAACATTTATTTACGACTCCCTCTTGTAGATTGCATTGCTCTTGTGGGCTGTCTTTTTGCTATGTTTTTTATGTGGCTTTAGTCTCCATCATGCAACAGGTGGAAACAAACTCATGCAGGGCCAGTTGCAGGATTGGGACCTTTAATTTAGAAGGATAATTGGGATCTTTGCTCCTAAAGGTAATTGTCTTGTCAGTGTATTTCAATAACCCTCTTGTGGAGCAATATGAATAAACTGGCTGACCACTGTAGGATAATTGTGATCAAAGCAATACTGCTGAGCTGGAGACTCAGTATATTAATGCTCAGGACTATTACTTGAACTTCAGTTGTATTTTTTGCTATTGCCATTCTTATATACAGGGCTCGCCGAACCGCGGCGAGCCCCACTCGCCAGCCGCGCTGTACGGCGATCTGTGCATGATCCGGCTCTTCGGGGTTGCAGTCTACTTGCCACGGGTGAGTAGATTGTATTATTTGTCGAGCCCTGCTTATATATACTTTTAATTACTATAATGGTCACAGATGTATCTTGCTGTAAATAATGAGCTTGATCCCATTTCCATTTAAGTTAAAAAGGGGCCAGGGTTGGGACCAGAATTTTAAATTGCTCATAGAATTGAACTCTTTTGCATTTAATTTTCTGTGGATGCATGCTGAGTACATTGTTCATGTTACATCTCATGGAGAGGCTTTGGTGGTAGACTCTAGATGTACCCACAGTTCCCTGTTAACAGTAACTAAAGGGAAACTATCACCCTATTTAGGACCCCCTGAGTAAAGTATATCAATATACCTTTTGCTTTTTACAGGGTTTTTTTTTATTAGAAATGATCCCCTCCCTCTCTCAAAAGTAGTAAAATAACATTACTCCTTAATTGAGAAATTTCTGTTGAAACCAATGAGAAGTAAAGTCCTGTTTAATCAATTAACTGGTTAAACATGTTGAACTGGTTAACCAGTTAACTGGGATCCCAAAGGTGGCTGCTAGGGCTGCTGCTCCCAGCTGAAATAGTCCTCGCCTGTGACTGCCCCTCTGCTCCAGACAAGGGCTGCTCGAGCTGGGCTAGTGCATCCCTGTCTGCAGCAGTTCCTGCAGGGCTGGAGTAGCTCCCTGCTCGAGGTGGGTGAGGAGCTGCTCCAGCCCCCACCAGTTAACAGGTTAACCTTTCACATCCCTACTGGTAACCTCACAGGACCAGGCCTTCAATTCTTTTTGAACTTTAGGGCTTTTGGGATTAATGTCCCAGGTGTCTGCACAGAAAGGGGTTGTCAGCCACTCGGGAGCATTCTGTATATCCAAAGCGGGGAGAGGGCATCATTGCTGTCTGGGAGTAGCTCAAGTGCGTGGCTGGCAGAAAGGAAGACAGTAGCAGGCAATTCTCCCTGTCACACTGTAATTCTTGTTGGTTTTATATTAGTAATTATCTTTAATATTCAGCAGTTTATAGGTGACCAGAATTTAATTATTTGCTGTGTGGGGATTTAGACCTTGCTGTCTCTTTCAGAAAGGGATTTTTGCAGTGTGTTAGTACAGCACCCAACATATTGGGCCCTCATGATAATTGGGGCCCCTGAGCAATATTGGAATGTATCTCCACTATCAGTTGTCTTCCCTGTCTGTTCCAAGACTTGTTCCATAACACTGGAGATGGACTTGGTGAGCCAGATTGAGGAATAAGTCTGAGGGATAGCCATGTTAGACTGTAACTTTAAAAACTATGAGTAGTCATCCGGCACCTTAGAGACCCACTTCTTCAGATGAGCTGGATCTTATACGTACATGTAATTTCTTAGTCTCTAAGGTACCACAGGCCTACAGATTGAGGAATGACAGTGATGCCAGTTTACAAACTTCTTCATCTCATCTTACTTTTTGCAGGCTTACCCAGGTGAGATGGAGCCGGTATGGCCCCGATTACCTCGAACCAGAAGTGAACAAGGAGGTATACCGGAAACCTGGGCAGGAGCTGTCTGAGGAGGAGAAAATGGAACAGGATCTTAAAGCCCTCCAACCCATAAAAGCTGCCCCTTGTAATGTCACCAGTTCTCTGTTCAGTGACCCTACAATCAGGTCAGAAAGCCCCTGTTACAGCACCAGCTGTGTCCCAAGGATTCCGCTCCCACTGAAATTACTGGGAGTTTTGCCATTGACTTCAGTGGGAGCAGGATTGGGTTTTATTGTTCAGAATTGTTGAGCCGCCATAATCCCAGGTGACTGCTAGAGATCAGCACCAAATAAGGATGTTGAAATGCATTTATTTTGGTAAACGGGTAATGGTTGACATTTTCAGCTGAGACACATTTACACATGCGAGTGAGGGGAGGTGGCTCTTGCGGAGTGGCTCCCTCCCACACTGCTACCTCTGTATCAGAAGCAGCAGCTGGGGTGGGGGGTAGGTTACAGGCAGCTATGCTGAAGCCAGCTCCCCGCGAGTACTGGCTCCTGCCTGCCTCCCTTCACTCTCCCCCTCCCCCCTGCTGCTGCCTCTGATACAGAGCCAGTAGTGGGTGGGGAGTGGGGGAGAAGGGCGGACTGTATGTAACCGTTTACACTATCACACCCCTACTGTCAATTTTCTCTTCCCCTCTCCAGAAAGAGGGTGGCAGATGAGTTGGATGGAGAGATTTGTTCATGAGTTCTGTCTGGATGGGGATTTGCTGTTTATTATGAAATGGATGTTTATGATGCTGGATGGAGTAGTAGAGTGTTCTGCTTCTGAGTCCACTATGGCTAAATAGTAAAGTCATTATAGTGCCCCCTCCCCGCATTAGACTTTATCTGCCAGGCTGTGTATTGCCTTCCATGTACTCTGTAATTCCTGTGTTTGGGTTAATTTTTTCACACATGGAAATGCCACTGAAAAGTAGAGGCTAAAGATGAGCACAGACACCTAGAATCTAGCAAGAATAGGATTTAACCACGGAAACAACACAGATGGGAACCTCTGGTGATGGAACCAAAGTTTCGATTGTATAATGTTTGGATTTGTGCTTGCAGTAAATTCATCAATATGATGATGAAGGGAGGAAACAAAGTGCTGGCCAGATCCATCATGTCACAGGTGAGGACTGGACTTGTATGTTTTAAATTGCATGCCAAAAAGCTGCACTGAAATAACCTTATTAATCTTTCAAAGGGAGCGCTCAGAACTTATGAAATGCCAGAAATAAGGTTGCCTCTGCAATACCTGTCTGCTTCACAGTCAAATCAAGCAGCTTTCTTCTCCATGCTGCCTAGGCCAAGCAGGAGGGTCGTTCTCAGAATACAGCAGAGACAAGCTCCCTTTTTCTCCATTCTGGTGTCCAGCACTAGCACAGAGCTAAAACTGCAGGGAAAGCCTTACTCAGCCTTGCGCTAGAGCAGTGTTTCCCAATTTTATTTGGCCACGGAACCCTTTTAAACTCGAAAGAATTTAACAGAACCCCTAATAACAGTCTTATATATGGTGTATAACAGGCGATCGCAGCACCAACTGACTGCGTGCACAGCACTGATTAGTGACATCATCGTCTCCAGTCTCTGGTGAAGCTGGCATTACACAGGGACACTTACCATGGCAAACACAAATGAAAATTGTTTTCAATAAAATTCATACATTCTTAAATATTAATTATTTTTTAAAATAATAAAATTTTATTGTAGTGAAATTTTCTCGTGGAACTCTTATTTCACTTCAGAACCCCAGGGTTCCGCAGAACACCATTTGGGAAACACTGGGCTAGAGTATACCTAGTACAGATGGAATTATTTGGTAAGTCTGGCAAGTCTCTATTGAAAGCAGGCAAACTTTCTTCAGTGGTTTATAAATTGGCCACTTTGGGGTGAATTTTCACAGGCATGGCAAAGGTACATCCCTGCTACAAAGGCCACCCAACTTCCATATTTGAAGTCCCTGTTCTAAAGTTAGGAGGCACTAGAGGCTAAAGAAAGAATTTTCTTAACATGCATAATTGTTTTTTTCCCCCCATCCTCATTTTCGGAACTGTTCTGAATTAACATTTTCTGCTAAAAAATTACGCTGAGGCAGACGCCCAGTATGGAAAATTTCAGCCCAAACAATTGAAATTTGGCCAAGTTATAATCAACTGAAAATAGGAATAAGAATTTGGCAGCCCTAATAAAATGGTACTTCGTATCTATACTGTTAATACTTAGCACTCTTTTCCTAGGATCTCTGACCCCTTCATAAGGAAGCCCCCGTATAATTATGCAGATGTTACAGGTGATAGCTGTGAGACAGAAAAGTCAGGTGACTTTCCTAAAATTAGGCAAGACCACTGTGACACAGCCAGGGATCAGAACCAGGTGTCCTCCTCTTAGGGTATCTCCTACTCTGTTCACTGAACCAGACTCCCTCCTTTGGGCACTAGTTGATGTGGAACTGAAGTGTAGAAGCCTTCTAATTTCCGTTCAGTACAGAACTGCCCCACCATAATGGGCTACAGTTTCCTGATTTAGGGTGCATGCTGTGGGCTTCATGCAGTGGTGCTGTAAAGGGCAGTGTTCTCCATGGTTAGGGTTGGGCGGTGGGTATAAGTTGACCAAAAAAGTGAGTAGATGCAGCATAATAGTATATGTAAACTGGTGTAACTGATACATGGAGGAGGTTGAAGTGAATCTTGAGAAAATCTAATAGGAGGTTGTAAGGTAGGGGTAGAGGCAGAACTATTTTATCTCCTCTCTGATACCCTGTTTGCTGGTGGTCACTGCTATACTTCTCAGCGATCAGTGGGCTACATGAGGAAAAAACAGTAAGTACTTGACTCCAGCAAGGACATTTGCTTGCATGTGGCAACCCAGTGTAAGGTGGTGAGAGAGAATTGAGTAAAATTTGTTGTAGCTCAAGAGTTCCTGTTTTCTTGTGTTTGTATTTAGACCTTAGAAGCCGTTAAAAGGAAGCAGGTTGAGAAATACCATCAAGCCTCTGAGGAGGAAAGGGAGAGCATTGAGTGCAACCCTTACGTCATCTTCCATCAGGCACTGAAAAACTGCCAGCCTATCATTGGGATCTCCAACATCAAGAAAGGAGGCAAAACCTATCAGGTAAACAGAAGAGACCAGAAGGCCAGCCTGGGTGCCAAAACTACCAGTGTCCTTTCCACCGTTCCCAAAACTTGTCTCCCTTGGAAGTAGATTAAGTAGATTATAATAGCACGAGGAATGTTAAAAATCACTTAAAACAGTAACTGTTACATTTCCAATTGGTTACAGAGTTAACCATTAGTTAAGCCTGGGGATGTACTCCAGCCTGCTGTGGGCGCTACATTTGAAGTTAGAGCCAGCAGCCAGGCTCCGTCCCGGCATGTGTGCTGGCTCCGAATTCAAATGCAGAGCTGCAGCAGGGGCAGCCCAAGAGTGGGACCAGCTGCTGGGACATGGCGCCTGCCAGGACAGAGCCTGCCTGTTGACTCCAAATTAAATGCCACAGCAGGAGGGCAGCCAATTAGAGATGTTAAGTATCCGTTAATTAGCTAATCGAGTAGTTGATGGAATTTCCATCCACTACTTGATTAGTAGATGAGGAGGCGTGTTCGCTAGCACTGCTGCAGCTCTGCATTTTAAATGTAATAAGAGCCAATGGACTCTTACTACATTTAAAGTATAGAGCTGCAGTGGGGGTAAGTAGCTCCTGGGGCAGCGCAAAACAGGACTGGATAGTCCCAGTTCACACTGGCTCCAGGATTGTTGTGGCTTTGCCTCCCCTGCCTCTCCCCTCCTCCCACACCACGAAGACAGTGCTGGGGGGAGGGGAACCAGCTTTTAAGCCAGTTCCATCTCCTGCTTCTCCCCCTCTCCCCCCGCCCCTTGCTGCCTCTCATACAAGGGCAGCATGGGGCTAGGGAAAGCAAGTAGTTGAATAGTCACTTACATCCCTACAGCCAATTCACCAAGTTGGCAGCATTTAACTGGTAACATTAACCAATAAGAATCATCTTATCAGTTAATCTCTTAATGTCCCTAATTAGCACCTAGAGACCCCAGCCAAAATTAGAACTCCAGTGTGCTGAGTATTGTATTCAGCCATAAATTAGAGAGAGTTCCTACCCCAGATTGCTTGCATTTTGAATGGACCAAGTGTGGGAGGGGAAACTGAGGTACAGAGAGATTAAATGACTTATCTACGGTTACAGAACAGATCAATAGCAAATCCAAGATTCTACCACGTCTCTGGGGTCTCAGTCTGTCTGCCAGACCAGTCTGCCTCTGTGTACAACCAGCTGTTTAAGTTGAAGCAGCAGAGCAGTTCAGCCCCCACAGAGAGCAGTGCACACAAAAGGTTCATATAGATACCTTGTTTCATTTAAAACCTGAGCACAGTTCAGTTCTTTAGCTCTCCTAATGAGATATTTGCATCTGGATAGCTTATGGCAGAGGTGGGGAACCTCAGACCCAGGGGCCGGATGCGGCTAGCCTGGATCTGGCCTCTGAGGTTCAGGCCCGCCCTCCCTCCTCCCCCCAAGCAATGAGAAACCTGTGCTGGTGCTCCAGCCTCCCCACCCCCACCCCATGGGAATGGAGCCCATAAAAACTATTAGGCTGGGCTCCCCTAGGCTCTGGTGTGTGAGGGGAATGTGGGGAGTGTCTTTCTGCTTCTCGGGGGCCAGATGTTAGTGAGGGGTTTTTTTTTTCTGTGTGTCAGCGGCCCCTGACCCAAAAAAGGTTCCCTACCCTGCAGGTTTATGGGATTATTAATGAACTGTGGAGCATTTCACCAGTCTGCTACCCAGCCAACAAATTACTGATCAGAAATAGTAATTGATCAGAAATAGTTTGGTCAAGTTCCCATAGACAAGTTTCCCTAAGTGACAGCAAGGCCAAGAACCAAATGGAACTCCCATCCAGTCACAAGAGGTAGCTGCTGCTCTTTTTGCAGTTTTGAGGCAAATGCTTCCTGCTGTCAACATCAGAAACCTTGCACTGCTGCACCTGATGTGTGGATTCATAGAGGCAGATAGTGGCCTAATGACAAACTCACAGGTGCCTGGCTAGAGTTAATCTCTTCCCTCCCCCTCAGAACTAGTCACTTTCTATGGAATCACCAGGGAGTGTTTAACAATTGAAAAGTGATATTTCAGCATATGGTCCTATTGTGGGATAAGGCATCTTAATAGTGTCACTATTTGAATGTCCCCTAGGTTCCAACCCCTCTGACGGACAACCGGAAACGTTTCTTGGCCATGAAATGGTTAATTACTGAGTGCAGGGAGCATAAGCATTATCGGATATTCATGCATGAAAAACTATCCCAGGAACTGCTACAGGCCTTCAACAATGAGGGCCCTGTGATCAAGAGAAAGCATGACATACACAAGATGGCTGAGGCTAACCGGGCCTATGCTCACTATCGCTGGTGGTAGGGGGTCTTCCTGCGACCAAGAGAGACCTTGACTTACGACAGCAGGAACATTTCCTCACTCCCTTGTACTTGTGGAGCTCAAACCTGTGAAGCATCATCTTCTGTCTACTTTTCTGCAGAGGAGCTGTAAAAGGGAGGTTGCCTGCCCATTTCTGTTAGTAGCTCCTAGGCTGGGTTCTTAAGCAGAGAAAATTCAAGATGAGATATGCACCCACAAAAGCTTCATTTTCTTAGATTATTTTTCTGAGCAACACTGTCTAAAAAAACCTTGCTCTCTGGAAGCAGTGGAGGGGTTGTCTTCTGGAATCTGTTTTGCATTGTGAATGCTCCTTCTGCATATCAATGCCGGAGACAGACAGAGCTCAGTTTGAATTTTAGACTGTTGGTTAGCAGAATAATTGTTTGAATGAACATATGTGATCTGGATGTTAGAGAAAATAAAAATGGAAACTCACTATCATCCTCTGACTCTAACTGCATTCCAGTGCTGTGTGTCTGTCTCAGGGTTTTTTACGGATGCCCATCACTGTAGCAGAGCCGTGATGTTTATCAGCCAAAGGAAGTGTTATTCTTAGAACAATGGTCTCCAAACTTTTTACACCCAAGATCATTTTTTAAATGTCAGTACGTGCCAAGATCTACCCCATCCCTTCCCTAAAACCCCACCTCTTCCTTGAGGCCCCGCCCTCTTACCCTTCTCTCCATCACTTGCTATCCCTGGCCTTTATGCACTCTCAGGGTACAGCTACCCTACCACTTTTTTCAGCAGTGGAAAAAAAGAGTTTTCTGACATTTGGCCCATCTAGACTGGGCCAAATGTCGGAAAATCCCTTTTAGAAGCCCCCTCATTCCTTGTGCAACGAGGAAAACAGGAGCTGCCAAAAGAGTGCGTTTTCTGGAAAAACTCCTGCAGTCTAGCCATACCCCCACAGGAGGTGCAGGCTGTGAATGAGGGATTTAGGTGTGGGGAAGAGTGAGAGGTACAAGTTCTGGGAGGGAATTTAGATGCAGGAGGATGTGGAGAAGGGGATGCTGGCTCAGGGAGGGGGCTCCAGGCTGGGGAGTGCTGGGCAAGCCACAGGCTTGTGGATGAGTTTGGGTTGGGAGTGTGAGGGGCTCAGGGCAGGGAGGCTGGAAGTATGATGGGCTCAGGACACAAATTTGCAGTGTGTGGATGGTACAGGAGTGTTGTGGCAGAAGACTGGGATGTGGGGGTGCAGGACTTTGGGGGCTTGTTGGCCAGGCTTCATTTTTAAATAAAATGTCAAACACAAAAGGTTTCAGCATCGTCTTTATTTATGAGATGGGAGGGTAACCTGTTTTGAGTCAGGAGTCACTGGCCCACAGAAAAGTCAGTTGGGGCCACACAAGTGAGATACAAAAACACAACCCCTCAAACTTCACTAATGTGGCCCCAACTGTGCTTGTGAGTGCGGGGACAGGGTGCTTGCGGGTGCTGGGGCAGGGTAGAGAGAGAGGGGACTGATACGTGGGGATCCTGCAGCTGCATGTCAAGGCCCAGGAAGGTCATGAGCTGCTCCCCCATCTCCCAAACAGCGCAGTACCTGAAATGCTGGTCCGTCGCATGCCTGATGCCTTCTTGCACTGGGGAGGGAGAGTCCCGGACTGTGCCAGCCCCAACCACTGGGGCACTGTGTGCCTTGCTTTGCCACTCCCCATGGCAGTGCGTGCTGTCCAAGCAGCTGGAGCCGGCATGCTGGGTACTTTATTCCCCTGCTGCCTTCCTGCACAGGGGAGAGGGGGAATCCCAGACCACGCCAGCCCCAACTGCTCCGGCAGCACGTGCTTTGCTCCTCCACACCCTATGGCAGTGCACGCTGCCCGAACAGCTGGAGCCAGCGCAGTCACGATTCCCACCCCTCCCCTGTGCACAGGAAGGCAGCAGGGGAACAAAGTCCCCAGCACCATGGACTGGCATTTTAGGTACTGCACTGGCTGTTGGGACGGGGGGGGGCGGGGAGCAACCCATGCACTTCCAGCACCTGGCGTGCAGCTGCAGAAACCCCCCTCTCCCCACACACACACACCCAACCCGTGGTCCCTGGAGGTAGCAGTGAGGGGGCCCCCAAAGCCTCATTATCGACTGGTCAAGCCTCCAGGATCGACCAGTCGATTGTGATCGATAGGTTGGTGACCATGGCTCTAGGATATGCCTTCCCATCTATATTCCGCTAGTCAGAATCTTGTCCTAGCACTTCTGTACTGGTTGTGCTCTGCTGGAAAAGCATAGAGCACTTTTTCTCACCGCAGGGCAAAGCCATCTGATCTGGGGAAGAATTCAGTAACACAAACCTTGTCTGTTTTGATTTTAAAACCCTAAGGCCGTGTCTAGACTACATCCCTTTTTCGTTACAGGGATGTAAATTAGGCATGTCGACATTGAAGCCGGGATTTGCATAATGGCGGCTGCCCCTTTTTTCGAAACGAGGCTCTCAAAAAAAAATCAGTTTAGACAGGGCGTTTTTGACAAATGCCCCGTTTCGAAAGATCCTGTACTAAACTGTTTTTTTCCGAAAAAGCCCCATTTCGAAAAAAAGGCAGCTACCATTATGCAAATGAAGTGTGGGAAATTCAAATCCCGGCTTCATTTGCAATGTCGACAAGCCTAAATTACATCCCTTTACCGAAAAAATGGATGTAGTCTAGACGTAGCCTGTGTTCGCTCAGCTGCCCTATAGTTGCAAACGACAGCCACCCTCCACCAAAGGAAAACTAACACGTGGCAATCTTATGGAACAGAATACCCTGTTTGTAGCCACCTCCATAGCAGCCCAACTTCCTAGAAATGTTACAAAGCAAGATCTCTGTGGAGAGAGAAAACATGGTGTTCATTAGTGGAAACATTTTAATTAAAAAAAAGCCTCCGTAGAACACTTATTTCCCCTTTGCCTGTCACTTTTGTCATCAGCAACGTACAATATTGAATTTCATTAAATAGGTTTTTTGGGAAAAATTATATAGTGGTTACTTTATAAAACTTTATAAAAACATTTTCTAGCTACATGTGCTCAAGGAAATTGCTATGATGGATGCTGGTGGCTTCTCCTCCTGAAGCAGGTGTTACTTCTGCTGTCCATAGTCACCCAGCCTGTCAGAGGCCAAGAGTGGGAGAAATAACAATAGATTGCCCATGTAAACAGCTCAGTCATAACTCCCATTGATTTCACAGGGAGCAGGATGAGACTCATCGCGGAGGACTGTTTAAAGCTTGGTTTGTGTGTTACGTGAACAGATTCCATATGGCAGTAAATCAAAGAATGCAGTTTTCCAAACAAGCTGTGAAAAATTTTTCTTCCACTTGTCTCAGCTCCGTTGGTGGCCAATGGAGTTGGTGAATAAGAACTAATCCAGTAAACCATTGGCTGTGCTTTCCTAATGCTACTTGAAGAGTGGGAACATGTAGGTACAGTTGCTCAGTGGTCTGAGAGGCATTAATTATCAACCATAGAAAAAGGCTGGACATTGGTTAGATTAAAACTGCCCTTGCCCCCACATCAAACTGTCTCCCATGGCAATGCAGCAAAGACAAAGTGCAAAGGTTCTAGTGGGAATAGAGTATAAAACCAATGTAAGAAAAGCTTTAGAAAAAAAACGTAACTTAACATCTCTTAAACTTATTTGTGTGATATTTGCTGGTGAAAGTGCCAGGCTGAAACTATTTGGTGAGATAGTTCTGGCTGTGGAAGCATTAATCTGTGACTTCGCTGTAATAGTATTTTTGAGCCGCATCTGTCATCTTCCAGTCCGCGGCACGGAACTCTATGATCTCCAGCAACAGGAGCTGAGAGAGGGAGCTGAGCCCCTCCTGCAGGAGAAAACCATCTCGGAGAAGGGAGAAGAGTTCATCCATTGGCTGGGAATTCATCTTCTCCAGCTGTTCTCCAATGCGGTGCAGCTGCAACACCAGGCAGTCCACCTTAAAAGAGGAAAGGGAAAAATGCCTTAAAATGTAGTATAGTGATAGAGATGTAGCCGTGTTAGTCTGGTGTAGCTGAAACAAAAGACAGGACTATGTAGCACTTTAAAGACTAACAAGATGGTTTATTAGGTGATGAGGTTTGATCTGAGGAAGTGGGTCTGGCCCATGAAAGCTCATCACCTAATAAACCATCTTGTTAGTCTTTAAAGTGCTACATAGTCCTGTTTTTTGTTTAAAATGCAGTGGGAATCTATGGTGTTTCTAAATAGAGCTCCTTCCCCATCACCTCAAAATTAATAGAGGCTGGTTCCCTCCATCCTGTTCTCTTGGATTTCTTTTTTCCCTGCCCACTTTCCTTAGGAAACTTGCCATCATTTGGTAGTGACTAGGAATCTGAATGTTGATAGCTGCTCTGGAGGGGGCTCTCAGGGAAGGAGATCCCACAGCTTTGCACCTGAAATTGCTGAAGAAGCAGGATGGCAGCAATTCACACCATTAGAACTGCACCAACTCACACTGAGGCTGCCAGCAGGTGGCAAATGCTGAATCAGCCTCTCCCCAGGGCTGCTTAAATAGGTACAGTATATAAACGCCTGTACCAAGTGATCTGGCTGAACTATGCTCTGTTTCCAGGATGGTTTGCATTCTTTTATCATCGGATTGCCATTCTCTCAAATTAACCAGGAACAGCAGCACCTGTGCTACGAGCCACACAGTAATATGCTTGCAGGGTATGTTTGGGGTAGGATGGCAGGGAGAACTGCGAAGCAAAATTCATGTCTAAGGGCCTATGAACTTGATGGTTGTTTCAGTGCCTTTGGCATTCACATGATATCACTGTGCAGCTATACCAGCCACAGTCAAAGTTGGAGCTTGAAGTAAAAGTTTGGGTTGGGGGAGAAATGGAGTCGTGGTTGCAACTTTAACTAGAGAAGCATCAACACCTCCATAATTCTTCCATTCTGGGGCAGCTGGAAACTTCCCACTTTACAAGCTTCCCTTGTTCCCTGTGCCCACCCCACTTAAAATAGGTACAAGGGGGCGGGGGGGTTCAGTTCAGCTCTGTGCCTCCGCTTTGTTCCAGACATTGGTTCAAACCTTTCTCAGCAGTCCTTGCAGGACAGTATTTTTTGCCAGTCACTTGGCTGTACAAACTCTCCTTGCAGGTTAGCATCCCACCAGCGCTCACCTCCTCCTCCTTCCTCAGGCTATCAGGTTGCGCCAGTCGGAACAGGCATTCATAAACTGGGTTCACCAGCGCCATCATGGGCATGTTGTTCACCTGTTAATGGGCAGCATGCATATCTCAGCTCATGGGCAGAGGCAGAGGGGTGTTGTTTTTTTTAATTGTTCTCACATGGAAGGAGAACTGCTCCCCTGGAAACCTGTCAAGGTGTCACTCTGGCTCAGAGGTCCTATTGGCAGGTTTGGCATAAGAGATCGTACAGACATATCTCCTTAATCAGAGGCACCAGGGATCTTTGCATGGGGCAAAGGTTCCAACAGAGATGGGGAAGTAATACAAAAACGGAAGATTTGGTTATATTTTAAAATGAATTAACACCACCTATGCTTTTCTCACCACGCTTCAGCTGTGGTCACAACCCCATGACCTTCACTGCCTATCAGCATCTGAGCCCATGCGTTCTCTGAGCACAAAGCTCCCAGAAAACCAATTCTTGCTGGGAGGGCTTTAGCACTCATCCAGTCTGGGAACAGGAAATACCACCATGCAACTTACCCAACCCTTCACAACTAACCAATGGGACTTGGATTTCGTACATTTGAGATCAGTCAAAGAGTGTGCCAAGCAATGGATAAAGGTGTGTGTGCGCCTGTTCCAGGAGCTGTGAGGGATGCTGCTAGTTGTTCACAGTTTGTCTGCAAAGAATTATTTGCTCTGCGCTACAGACTGACAACTTTTCCCTCATCCTCTGCTTTATTGATAAGGGGAATAGTAAGCAATGGCCTCACATTGCCCTCTGCATATTGAACAATTAGTGAAGGCCTGAACTGTGATGTTTGAATGCAGAGCCCCTGCCCATACAAAGAGCGAGGGGTTCAGAACCAAGAATTCACTCCAGGTCCCAAGCTCCTGTCCCTAACTCTGCAAAGGTTCATTTCAACCCTCTTTAGCCAGCAGGCAACAAACAGGGATGTCCTCCCGCATAGGCACCTTACCCTCAGGTAGTCAAAGATGTTACAGATGAAGGTGACGTAACAGATCCACGCCTGGGGTGAGCGGGCACGCAGCTCTTCCCGGTCTTTATACTCCTGCTGCAGTCGGTTGAGAAGACTCCGTCGGAAAATGCTCTGGCCCACCTGCTTACTCTCTGCCTAGGACCCCAGAAGAGCGAGGAGGGGCAGGGGGGAAGAGGCAGGTACATTATTAGACTATTTACAAATCACTCATCATCCGACTCCCATTGTTACATAGAGAAAGATGATAGCCGAGAGTCTAACCGCATGTGGAGTTCAGGCTGCTGTCATGGCTTGCATATCCCATCCCATTCTCTTCCTCTATTTCACTGCTGCTCTGGGGCTACAGCAGCTCCTCCTAAGCATGCAACCCAGCCTCACACCTCATCTTTTGGGAAGAAATAATTCCATCAATATGCTGGACCAGTTCCTCTGCCATGACAGCCACTGCCCAAAGACTAGGGGACCCCCTTGCCATTCAGCCTGAGAAACTGCATTCAGACACAGGCGGACAGCTTCGGATTTCTGCTTCTCTCTAGCAGATGGGGCAAGTGGTGGAGATACTGGTAGCTTCTGTTAAAACCCTTACAAAGACAGAGAGGAGCTGGCCTGGTGGTCAGAAAACAGGACCGAGAGAAAGGATGTGCTGGGTTATATTCTCTGCATTACCTTCTGCAAGTCTGTCCTTCTGTGTCTGATTTTCTCCCATTCTTTGAAAAGGGGATGATACTCCTCTAGAACAGGGGTGGCCCACCCATTCTGGGCAAAAAGCCAAAATATCAGTAGATCCAGTGCAAAGTTGTCAAGCAAAAAAAAAAAAAAAAAAAAGAACTGCCCCTTTAAGAAAATGCATTTAGAGGCTTTTTGGCCACACCAGGCTCCCACCGGCCAACACCGTCTTTAATGGCTGCACCTGACAGCTCCCCTGCCCAGCACAGGGAGCCGGGAGAAGAGGGCCAGTTGCAGGGACGGCAGGGCAGCTTTACAAGTCACAGGGGACACTTCACAAGCCGCACCCGGGGGAAGAGGGGCGGGAAGAGTCGCATATGGCTCGGGAGCCGCGGGTTGGCCACGGCTGCTCTAGAGGGTGGCATTGGAAGCCTCAGTAGAGTTACTAAAAGGCTTTGTGGATTAAAAGTGCTCTGTAAATGCTGTGGAACTGAGGCAGGTCCAGCTGAGACACTGGGATGTCCACAAGCACTAGCTGTGATCCAGAAGGGCAGGCAGCATGAATCACTAAGGATTTGCTGTCAGCATGCTGACTTCCTCTCACCTGGATAATGGTGTAGCAGATGCGCCCAGCCTCCTTGCTGAACACAGAGTCTTTGAGGGACTGGTCCACAATGATATTGGCCACTTTCTCCAGGTCCACACTGCTGGGGTCTGCAGGAGATGAGGCAATACCATCAGCACCACGCACTCGCTTCCCAACATGGCACAAACTCCCTACTTCACACTCTCCCTGCTCCCTTGAGAGCACTAGGAAAGCAGCCACTGTACACATGGGAGTGAGTTGTGTTACCATGCTGGAAGAACTCAGGCTCACACCACTTCCCACAGACTGGAGGCAGCAAACTCAGCCGCTTTCACCACCAACAGACTGCATGAGGGATGGCATCTTCAGACAGTCCTTAGCCCTCAGTCGTCACTGAAGCTACGTCTACACTGTAGCATTTTTTTGGCAGAGGAAATGCAAATGAAGCGCTCATTAACATTTTTTGCACTCTTATTTGCATAGTCTCTTCCAATCTGTTTTACAGAAGAGGTTTTTGTGGAAAAACACACAGTGTAGATGGGGCCATTTTGCACAAAAAAACCTTTTTACACAAGATCCCTTATCCCTCAAAAAAGGAGGTATACAGGACCTTGCGCAAAAGGGTTTTTTGTGCAAAATGGCCCCATCTACACGGCTTTTTTTTCCACACAAAAAAATCAATTTGCATTTCCTCTGCTGACAAAATGCTACAGTGTAGACATAGTCAAAGAGGAGGGGAAAGAGGAAAAGAGTGAGAGTAAGGGACAAGTTTAAACTGGAGCTGAATGGGCCAATGTTCATTATGCTTTGAATACAACTGCTATTGCTGACCACAGCTGGCTTTTTCCTATAAGGCTGAGGATCCCCATCACTGGTGGTTTTTAAGAACAGGCTGAACAAGGGCAGGACGGAGGATGGGAGAATATGCAGGCCCTGGGTGGGGCAAAAGGCAAAGTGAGGGGGGATGGATAAGAGCAAAGGTAAGTCAGGAAGGAGGATGAGTGGGAGTGCAGGATTTGAGAGTGGAGGATGTTGATTATTTGCCAAGGGGGATGGGAGCATAGGTAAGTATGCTTCAGCACACAGGAGACAGACAGCTGATGAGAGGATTAGGCAGGAGCAGAGAGAGGGAGGTAGTGGCAGGGTGGGAGAGCAGAATCCAGGATTGGAGAAAAATGGATAGAGGGAAGGGGGTGGATGGGAACAGAGAGTTGGAAGGCATCAGAACAGAAAGATAATAACCACTAGAGGACACTCCCAGAACCTGGAATTGAATTCAGATAATTGTGCCTTAAATCTCAGGGAGGAGGTGGCAGGGAGCAGAGATTGTGTGTTCCACTAGCTCCCCCATGGCAGGGAAAAGGCCTTGGGGGCCAAGCAGCAGTGCAGTTGCATTTCTGACATAGCTTTCCTATTCCATCAGTGTTAACAAGACATAATGGCACCTGGCTGTTTAGATGTGATCTGCCAGCCAGACTGGGCATGGAAGCCACGGCAGGGGGGCTGGAAAGGCAGATGCCTGCTGACCTTTCAGAGCTGTTTTCAATAACTGCTGTGTCTCGGTGTCGAATGACTGTATCTTATATTCTTCTTTGCCCGAGTCTCCCATGTCTGGCCTGCTCTGACAGCACGGTCAGGGAAGTGGCTGTTAGTGTCAAACCCTGGAGAAAAGAGCAAACACGGTTAGTCAGGAAGCCAGATGGAGAAGTGCAGGTGTTCGTTTTGCCATTTGGGGAAACGCTGGAGCACTGTGTGGTTTAACCAACAACTATGCAAAGAGCATTCAGATATTTGGGGGTTATGACATTTTTCCAAACTCCAACCCCCAATCCTGGGCAACCATCACTACTATTTCTTTATAATCCCTGCCCTCTGCCACACTTTCACAGGGGGCTTTGGACCAATGGACTCCCTTATATTATCTAATATAAAAGCCTCTTTGAACTGCTGATCTGTGGCTTTAAAAACAAACTGCCCACCTGAGGCAACCAAAACACTTCCTTTTACAGGGAGTAACAGCCTGAGCCGGTCACAGGGAAATAACACACAAGAGCACGGCTTGGTTCTGCTGATTCATTTACTCTCATGTGGCTCCGAACCTGCAATTCAGCGGATTTGCTCAAAGACACCGGGGAAATTCCAAACATACAGATGATTATCCTGTCTGCTTCTCTCCTGCACTGTCACTTAATAGCAGAGCTGCGTCCGCATCGTGCTAGGCCAAACTCAATGACTTCAGAGGGGCTGCTCAGAGTGGCAAACAGAAATAGCAAGTAAATTCTACACCATTACTAAGTCTCTGCTTTCCTGGAGATCCTGCATTATTCTCCCCAGTACAAAATGATCCCAGAAACTCCCAAGTTTTCCTCTAATTAGTTATTTTGGGGGCGTTGTCATTTCACATACCCATCCAGCCTTACCTAATGTGAGATCAACCCCGGTCAGCGCAGCACCAAACGTTTGTTGCAGGGCTGCAGTAGCCTGTGTCAGAAACACTGAGAAGGCAAATGTCCAAGTGGAGCATTCAATGCGTTTTGCCAGCTCATGAGAATTCCACAGCTATTGCTCTCAGTCACTGTGCAAACAGGCCAGGAAGCAGATAGTGGGACAAGGCACCTATCTAAGTTGCCGTGACTATACAGTACCTGCAAGACTTCTTTTGGCACTGCTCTGGGGGGCGGAGGCCAGAGAACCACGTCCCTCTGTATACCCGCAGCTTCCCCCCCCCCCCCCCGCCTTCCGTAAGACGGCCCAG